TATCTATCTATCTATCTATCTATCTATCTATCTATCTATCTATCTATCTATCTATCTATCTATATATGTTGTTGTTAAATGCCATTGAGCCAGTTTTGACCCATAATGACCATGTATGTAGTGTTTCTGAGGTGCAGCTGGTGAGCTTGAACTGCCAAACTTGCTGACCTTGCCTTTCAAACTTCCTTTGCAGCTCAGGACATTAACCCACAGCACCACACCAGGACTCCTCTCTCTCTATGTATATGTTTCATGTATATATATATATATATAGAGAGAGAGAGAGAGAGAGAGTCCTGGTGTAGCACTGTGGGCTAATGCACCAGATAATACCACCTGGAGTCCTGGTATGGCACTGTAGGAAAAGCACTGGACTTCGAACCATAAGGTCAGCAATTCAAACCCACCAGCTGCTCCTTGAAATTCTATATAGGGACATTGTGACTCAAAAAACCTGACTTGATGGCACTTCACAACAATGTCAGCTGTAAATGGTTCTATACATTTTAAATTTGAATAGATACATATATAATGTCAAGGTTGCCAGTTCCAGCCCACCTGGCAGCTCTCTGAGAAAGTTTTGGCAATTTGCTTCTGGAAAGACGACTGCTAAGAAGACCTTATGGAGCAATTTTACTCTGCCACATGGGATCGTTATAACTATAAATCAACTCAGTGGCACCAAACATCTATATAAAATGTCAGGGAGTCCCCGGGTGGCACAAATAGGTAGCTGTTAACTGAAAGGTTGGAGTCCACTCAGAAGAGCCTTAGAAGAACGGCTTGGCAATCTACTTCCAAAAAAAAAAAATCAGCCACGGAAAATTCTATGGAGCACAATTCTATTCTGACACACATGGGGTTGTCATGAGTTAAAACTGACTTGGAAACTCAATTGGTATTTTAGTTTTATAAAAGGTCAGAGCTAATACCAGTGGCTAGCACATGGTAGACATTCAAACATTGCTTTGTTCTTACTTCCTTCCGTGTTGTTTTTATAGTTGCTGGATTATATGCTGTCTTGTTTGTTTCATTGTTCTATACGCATTTGTCTTGTTTCTGAAAGAACAGGAACAGTGCTTTATATTTGTAGACAGTATATCACGGTTTAATAGTGTGGTTCTCAAACCTTAGTGTGCATCTGATTTGGCAAGTCCAGAATGGGTCTGAGTATTTGTGTTTCTGCTAAGTTTCTAGATGATGCTGACGTTGCTGGTACAGGAATCGAGCTGTGAGAACACATGAACTTAGTTGAATGTAGAGTGGGCTTATGAATATGGAGATTGAGTTTGAGTCCCCTCTCTGTCACTGACTATGTGACCTTGGGCAAGTTAATTTACTAATTTGAGCCTCCATTTCCTCAGCTTAAAAAATGGGGATATTAATGCTATGGTCTCAGGATTGTTGAGGATTCAATGTAATGAATGTAATATGCTTAACACTATTTCTGATATATTGAAAACATTCAATAAATGCCACCTTTTATCCCTGGAAAGGCTGGCCCAATATTAGGCACTAAATACACACTGACTTAAGCCTAAAGAGTCCTTCTCAGGAGACAGTAAAACTTTTGAATTTGTAAACAGTGGGAGTAGCCTTGTCATTTATAGTTAATAGCATCTGAAATTAAGCCAGACTACTAAAAATCACAATGTAAAGGGTTATTAAGGAGCTCTGGTGGCACAACGGTTTAAGTACTTGGCAGCTAACTTTTGGTTGAAAGGTTGGGGGTTCAAATTCATCAGTTGCTCAGGCTGTGGGAGAAAAGACCTGGAGTTCTGCTTCTGTGAAGATCCCAAACTAAACCACGCCTATGGCCGTCAAGTCAATTCGGACTCATTGTGACTCCCTCTCCCCCGCAAGACATAGTATAAGAGCCCCACAAGGTTTCCAAGGCTGTAATCTTTACAGAAGCAGACTGCCACATCTTTCTCTGTTTTATTGTTGTTGTTTTTTTCTTCCCCTCTGACTTACTGTTGATGTTAAGTGCCACAGAGTTGGTTCCAACTCATAGCAACCCTGTACAGGGTTTCTAAGAGCAGCTAGTGAGTTTGAACCTCCAGCTTTGCACTTCAAACCTATCTGTGGCCCACTGCATTATCTTGCAATGCCAGACCTGAACTCTGGATAGTGGGTTAGAGATGTCAAACTTCCAGTTAACAGCCAAGCCCTGAACCACTGCACCACCAGGCCTCCTCCATAAAAATTGCAATGTGAAAATTCTGGGTACCTCCCCTAGCTGGGAAGCTGTATGGGGCAGTTCTATTCTATCATTGGGTCATTACAAATTGAAATGCCCTGTCCCAGAGTATGTTGGATGAAAATGCATAGCTTTACAAAAGCCATGTGTATTCATCTTGTCTAGATGGGTCTGGTGAAAAGAGATGGGGATAAGATTTGTAAGATTCAATAGTGAATAATTGTTATCATGACTAATCGCAACTGTCACAATCCTAAAGGTAGAAGCTTTGTT